GGTCTCTTCCAACTCACAACATTCTAGGATTGGCTGGCTGGGCAACTCCTTGCTGGGCACCAGAAGTGGACTGTCGGTGAGCGAACTGTTGGCACTCTGTCTTGACCAGTGCTGAAGTGCACACATCGCTATTGCCAGCAGTGACTGCCTGAGTCACACCTGCACCCCCACATCCCGTCCCCAGCACCAATTTCAAAGGGAGTGTTGTGGCTGTTATCAGCCCGTTGTGTTTCCAACTGCTCAGATAAAGAGAAGGAGCCACAAATTACAACTGTCTAATTCAGTGCTTCTAGGTAGGGCTGCCTGAGCCTGAAACCCGCTGTGCGTTAAGTGGTCAGTTCAGGTGGAGACCTGCTCAAGACGCAGGTTGGAGTGAGCAGGAAACAACAGCTGCCCGGGGTGTTAAAAGATTTACTGCTGCTTCTATCTGTAACCTTGGTTCCGTTCCTTGCATGTCACAGCTCTGGGATTTGGCGTGATTGAAGAGCCGCTCAGCCGAGCCCGTTTCCACTTAGCAGACAGGAGCTGGCTGTTTTCCTTCTCGGGAAACGAAGGTGTCTCGGGGAGCTCCACGGAGCCATTGGTTCTTCTCCTTTTCCAGCACGCCAGGCCATGCTGTGAGCTCTGCCCAGCTGCCTGCAGTGAACCCTTCCCCAGGACCAGGCTGTTCCTTTCTGCCCGCAGAGGCAGGTCTGCAACTCTGATTCAGCTCATTTACTTCTTCGCTTTTGCTACTCGTTTTTGTAGAGCAAATAAATGAAATCACAAAAGCTGCTGCCCTTCCTCCAAGTTCCTGCTGCTAGCTGTGTGTTCTTCTAGTGCTCCTCACTTCCCACAGCCAATATACACTGTCATATTTATATCCCAGAGATCAGAGCAGCTACATGCTGACTTTTCAGAGCAATTATTCCGCACAAATTGGGCTGTCGTCTCTTGGTGTGCGCTGTGCTTAGGACAGAAAGAGGTAGGAAAGTCTGGTAAAGCTTGGAGGAAAATCTATTCTCAGAAGTGAGTAGTTTTCCATGTCCTGGGTGGCTAATAGGTATCACCTGTGCTAAGGAAAAAGAGGGAAATTGTGGTGAAATTATCATCATCATCATCATCATCATCATGTGTTTTGAGAATAACAAAAGAAAATACAAACATTGCAAATGTTTGGGAAAAGGTTTTGTTGATTAATTTTCTTTTTTTGTGTGTGCTGGGAACATGATAGAAATGAATACAGAACTGTTAGCTGAAAGAGATAGGAGATGTCTTTTACAAAAACACTTTTTCCATCAGTCTGTCAGGCATTTAAAGAAAACAGAAAACTATTAATAGAGAAAACAATTATGTTAATAGATAAAATATTTTCCCTTCTTAATTGTGGTGGAGTTTTTTTGGTTTGGGGAGGTTTGGTTTTTATTTTTTTTTACTTTAATACTTCCACAAATAAATGGTTCTTCCCCATAAACTCACGTATAAACTCAGGTAGACAAATACTATTTTTTCAGTGAGAAAGTAAGGAGAGGGAAAAAAATCCTTTTCTGCTATAGCAACTGGGAAATGGTCCTTATGTATGTCATGAAAAAAACAGGAAAGTATCCTTACCCTTAAAAAATATTGTAGGTAATCCTGAAAGTATTCCCTAAAGCATAATTTAAATTGGATTCTGAAAAACTTTGGAGAATCTTAGGAACTTTCTCAGCGATTAATAAGTTTCCCTTCTATTCACTTGAGTGGTACTAACAGGAGTCACAGACACTATGAAAAAGAAGATTTGTAAGTTTTGACTGTTCCTACTGATCATTCTGCTTAAATGTTATCATTTATTCTTGAGCTTTTCTTGTGCCTCCTTCAAATGTTTTTGTGTTAGACGTATCAGAATCCCTGGGCTTTGAACTTCAGAAAACCTTGGAGAAAGTGGAGAGGTTAGAGAGAATGGAGACCTGAGGGTGAGAACTTACTGAAGTTCAATGAACCCAAGTGGGAGGTGAGAATTCCTGAAGAAGACAACAAGAGCTTACCTTTTTCAGCAGTTTCTCCAAGCCATGAATTCATATCTGTGGCATAGCCATCATAATTATAATGTCACAGAGAAATGTGGAGTGTTTGAAGGATGAAGATTAATTGTAGAGGATGTAGGAGAGGCAGAAGGTGGGGAAGTGCTTCTGTTTATCTGTTTATTCCTTGGAAGAAGAAATGAAGAATGGTAGGCTTCAGACAGAATGGAAGACTGCTTAGCAGTCTCTAAACCAGTGGTCCCAGCCTTTCAGAAAGGATGATTAATCACATCTGAAGCTGTAGTGATGGGTGAAAGACGTAGGTGCTTTGAAGAGTTCTTAGGACAGTTATTGGTGAGTCGGCTGCCCAGGTTTTCAGAGATGGTTGTTCCCTGCAAAGAAGCTGATGAGAATCCTGGTTATGCAGCATTAGACCAGACAACTTGTTTATCATGATAATAATTATCTTTTTTTCTGTTTCTACTCTTGCCCGTAGGATCAGGCAGCTAAAGATAAAGCCATGCAGAGTATGGCTACAATGTCATCTGCCCAGATTATCTCTGCAACTGCCTTCCATAGTAAAATGGCCTTGCCTGGTCTCCCACGGCCAGCCTACCCTGCTGTTTCTGGGGTGAGTGAATCAGTGTCTTGGAGGAGTTGGGCTGAAGACACTTGAGTATTTAAAAGGGTGTTGGAACCTGCTCAGGAAAATCCTGAGGACATCAGAAAGAACGGGCCAAAAGGCATTGACTTTGTAGAGCAAATCTGTCATATGGCTTCAACAGTTTGGCTCTGATTCTTTGCTCACACCGATGTAAAACAATAGAATTTCACTATATGCTTTTTTAAAACTGACACAAGTGAGACAACAATCAGATCCTTTGGATTTTCAGCTGCCTGAAATATTTTTAAGGAAAGTCTGTATTACTTTCTTAGTCCAGGATGTTGTTGGATTAAAACCATTTGGGCCATCGTGACCCTTTCTCCAGCTTATCATTCCCAAGCTCATCCTGAGTGCTTAGATCGCAAATTGATGGCCCTTATATAAAATCCTTAATAAAGGAGGCCTGTCAGCATTCCCTAACTTTTGAGCTGGGCCTAATGAGCTATTGCTGAGCTCTTGTGGGGAAAATGGTCCCTCCAAGGGAGTGAGCATCATTAAAGCTTTGGAGATGGAGGCACAAGGTGCGTACATATCATTTAACATTAAAAACCACTATTGGGTCAGTTGCTTGCATGCCACTAGCAGTAGTGTGTGGAAAGAAAATGAAGACCAGTCAGCAGCTCCACAAGGATGAAACTAGGAAGGTAGAAAGAAGAGATACAGCTCAGTCACATCTTTAAAAGTCTGTGACCTTGCCGTTTCTTTCCTCAGAGGAGCAAGCCTTGCTTTTCATCTCTGTCCTCAGAGTGGTGACTTTTACCTGTATGTTGTTCTCTTGCAGTTTTGGCAAGGACCTTTGCCTGGCCAAGCTGGATCTTCCCAAGAGTGAGTATTCTTTCATATGAGCATCCAGAGCAGGTGCTTCTGCTGCTTCCTCTCTGCTGCCTGAGGAACAACATTAGCTGTTATAAGATTTATAAAACACACAAACTTCTTTACTGTGAGGGTGCCAGAGCCCTGGGACAGGCTGCCCAGAGAGGGTGTGGAGTCTCCATCTCTGGAGATGTTCAAACCCACCTGGACACTTTCCTGTGCAACCTAGTGTAG